GTATCTCAACCCTGGTTGGTGTGGTATTCATACTGGTAAATTCTTAACTCTTTTCGTCATAGACTTCCATATAGGTGCGACCAGAGCCCAATTTGGTTCCTTTAGTTGTACAGAAACAGGTTACACCCTCTACGCCAAGTAACTTTCCTAAATTAGTTGTTCTGCAAAGCCAGAGATGCTTTCAATTCCAGTTAAGGTATGGTTCTTTACTACAGCCCATAGTCATGTATCACCGCTTCTCTCACTACTCCAGTTTTAGCTAGTATCGTATCACCCTTTCAAGCAAGTACCCCACAAATTGGATGCAGGGATGTTGGTACAGCCTCCAGGTCACCCCAACTGAAGGACTAATTCGCGTGATCTTTATGTAATTTAACCTTTTGTAATACTACACCACACGTAGTGCCTACGCTCCATGACCTGATCTCCTTCTGGGAACTTCTTATTCTGGTTTCGTACTGCACTTGGACTTTTTACAGGGCTTCGCATTCGATTTAATGGCTCCCGTAGGTTACAGAAGCAAATTTTATTAAAATTTGTCTCCAGCCTGACTCGAACTGTTGACCTAGTCTGTGGGGGTTTGGGAGCTTAACCACTAAGCTATGGGACCCAAACCCCTGACAAATACTTAGTTATACTTTGTAATGTAAATTGATAAATATAAAAGAGAGTATATTGTAATATTAATGAATTTTTATTAATATTTTTCCTATAATTTTTCTTAGATTTTATTATATATTTTATATGTTTATTATATATTTTATCATTTTATTAGTTTATTTACATAGTTTATAATATATTTGATCTATTTTAGATGTTTATACAATAGTTTATTATATATTTTATTAGTACACATTTTACAGAATTCTATTTAAAGCAATATTTGCTTTAATATTTAATTATATTGCGCGACACCTAATCACATCAAGGTATTATTAGGGCGCTGAAATTTTTGTCTGCAGTGTAACATTAAATTAGCCAATAAAATGTAATAAAAATCATGATTTGTGTAACCTGCCAATGAAATAGAATATTATCCGTTAGTAGTCATAATCTCCATATATACGTAGTATAACAACAATTGATCTTTGCTATTGCACTATATTCATTGTATTTCGTAGTGGTGGTGCTTTTAAGGTGACAACTTGAGGTAGTAATTCATGCGGTATTCGGTACTGCGTGGTGGAATTTCGGTGGTACTTAATCTTGATCTGCAGTGTGAATTTGGATTTTTGTGATAGTGCTCCATCTTCTTGGCTTTATTCTCGTGGTATTGTATTTCTTCATCATGTGGTAGTTCCTCATCTCCTGGTAGATTCTTGTCCCTGTGGTAGTTCCTCATCCCTTTGGTAACTCCTAGCTCCTCGTCTCCACAAAAATTCTTTGTCTTCATAGTAGTACTTCGTCCTTGTGGTAGTAATTTGTCCTCATCATAGTGCTTCGTCCTTGAGTAGTAATAAATTAAGGTCAGTATAAATATTATTTATTAATGTTCTAAAAGCAATAAATAATTAAAGAAAATTCACTATATAAATTAAATTAATATTAATTAATACGTAGATGAGACCATCCAAGCGAGTTAAATCTTTAAAGATTGTCAGAGAGAAGAAAAGACAAAAGGCAAACAAAATTGAAATTAGTATGAAACATAATTAACATCAAAGAAATACAATATATGGCAAAAGTGGGAAGCGAATATCTATTGATTCAACAATTAGAATTTAAAGATTCTTGTGCTTTAAAAGTACAAAATCTTTAAATTCTGATTGTTGAATCATAGATATTTGCTCTTTACTTTTGCCATAATAATTACATAATTCTTATATAAAAATTTAATTTTTTTTTTATAATATATATATAGAAAGTGAGATCGAATCTTCCGGCAATGAAAGTGATTGGAATAATGAAGGATTTGAGCTTGAATTAAATAACGCCTATAATATAATGGTTGATGCTGCCTCTAAATAAAACACATTTAAAGCATTAAAGAATAAATTTTATTATGGAAACGCTGAATCTACTATGTGAAATAAAAGGCGAAGCTGAAAATTAGCAGCACTTGGCTCCCAAAAAATCACCAATTATTTTAGTTTGAACAGTAATGATAATGATAGTAATCGTAATAATAACAATAGTAATCATAATTATAGTTATAACAGTAGCGATGATGATACAGGTACTATAAATATACTATGATATATAATAGTATTGTACTATATAGTTATGATTGGGTCATTTGGTCTTATTTTTTTTAAAAAAATAAGATCAAAAAACCTGATTATACTATAACTCAAAAATCTATTTATATAGAGTTATAATTGGGTCTTTTGGTCTTATTTTTTTGAAAAAAAATAATACAAAAAGATCCAATTATAGTTTTTTTAACTTGTATTTTTTAAACTTATTGCTAAATATATTTTTAAACTCTATTAAGATTTATCTGAAGAGGACAATTTCGAATACTCAATATCTAAGTTAAAGCAAAAAATTAAAAAAGATACTCAAGATATTAGGCTTCAATATGTTGCACAATATCTTAGGCTTGTTAAGTCTGATTTTACCAAACTAGAGGCGAGTAACATTATTTCAACCTCACTTAATCATGGTCTATGGATAGCACATTTGATACGATCTTGGGGCAAACAATACTTAGAGCGTGGCTTTATTATAACATCAAAGAGAGGAAAGCATCAAAAAACTCATTCACTTTTGTATGATGAGGATATTCAAAATAAAATGATTCAATTTTTAAATTCAAATAAATTTAATTGAATATTTCTCAAATCTGCAATTATATTACTGGCGAAATTTTTCCAAGTGCTGGGATTGAAGCTGAAATAACTATAAGTAAGAGGAAAGTACAAAGATGATTAGGCAAGTTAGGGTGGAAATATCAATGTTATCAAAACGGATTGTATATTGATGGACATGAAAGAGCAGATGTTGTAGAATATAGGCATATATTTTTAAAACGTATAAAACAATTTAAACTATTAATGCCAAGTTGGTCAGATGATTTAACCCAACATATTAATCCAGTTTTACCTAAAAATGAAAATTTATACATATTAGTAACACATGATGAAACAGTATTTTATGCGAATGATGATCAAAAAACATTTTGGAGACCTAGTGGTGAACAACTATTACGTTCCAAATTACTAGGAGGTAGCTTAATGGTTAGTGAGTTTCTTTGTGATATGATTGGTCAGCTTCGATTAGATGATATTCATAAACAACTAAATAGTCAACTTCTATCTAAAAAACAAATTCCTAGTGAGGCTTGCCGTATAATCTGCCCTGGTGCTCATTGTGATGGTTATTGGACCGGAGAAGATGTTGCAAATCAATTAAAAAATAAGGCAATTCCTATATTTGAAGCTATGCATCCTGGTTGTATTGCTGTTTTTGCTTTTGATAATAGCAATAATCATAGAGCATTTGCTAAGGATGCTTTAGTAGCATCAAGGATGAACTTTAAACCAGGAGGCAATCAACCTAAAATGAAAACAACCTATATGCGAAATGGAGAATTGCAAGAAATGGTATTTTCTGATAGTACTCTAAAAGGAATGTGTAAGGTTTTTGAAGAAAGAGGTTTAGATTATCCTGGTTTAAAAAAAATTGTAAAAATTGTAAAAAGGACTTTTTCAAGAAAATAATTGCTGCGCTACACAAATCTTAAATTTAGAGCCTGATTTTATGAATCAAAAATTACTTCTAGAAGAAATAGTTGAAAAAGCTGGGCACAAAATAATTTTCTATCCAAAATTCCATTGCGAATTAAATTATATTGAAAATTATTGGGGTGCAACTAAGAAATACACATGAGCAAATTGCAATTAAGCTTTAATGCATTAAAAAATACTGTTCCGCAGCACTTGAATCTGTTTCTTTAATTCGAATACGAAGATATGCAAGAAGTTCTTTATGTTATATGAGTGCATATAGGTTGGGCTTATCTGCAAAGCAAGCTACTTATGCTGTTCGAAAATATAAATCTCATAGGAGAGTACCAGATAATGTAATTAATGAATTAGATTTTAATCCAATTAATTAAATTATAATATTATAGTTTTTTTTTTTACTATCATATGATAGTTTTTTTTTAAAAATTTATTTTCTATGCTATGTTTTATATTATGTTTTTTAGAAATCTATTTTTTAGATGCTATATTTATAATGCTGTATGTTGCTATTAAAATTAATAAATATATACTACAGTAGAGTTAGTATTTTTAGTTTGCATAGTGTTATTTATTGTGTAGTATTACAATTTGGTTGTCAATTAGTCATGTGATTAATATTTTAAAAATTCTAATGGCTTTCATAATTTTCCTATATATAAATAAGTGCTGAAATTTTTATAATTATTAATAAAATTATATATTTTCAAAACATAATAACTTTATATTGAATAATTTATTTTAAAAAAGCATTTTATAAATATATTTTACGAATCATATAGAATATAAATATAGAAAGTTTTTTGTATTTTACTTATTTTTTTTTTTGAGTTATTAAATTTTTTAAAAAATCAATTATTTGAGATGTGATTAGCTGTCGCGTACTGTATTAGTTCATTTAATGTAATGATATACAGAGCAAGGCTATACAAATAACACAAAGCATATAAGGTACCCCAGGATGCCCTAGGACCTTCTAGAATGATGTATTAATAGTCATTTAATTATATTACTAATTTTAAAAATAATAGCTTTATTAGTTAGTTTATAGTATTATTTTATATTTTTATTATATAACAGTGTTATTAGACAGCATTATTTCATGTTATTATCATTTTTGTAACTATTTTTAGTCTTAGAATAGCATTATAACGACTTAAATAATAGTATATAGTATTATTGCAATGATTTGCAATAATTGACATTAGTAATATAATGATTTACTGCATTATTTTCTAGCATTATAATATGTTAATATTATACAGCATTATTGAAAGATATATAAACCTTGCCTTTTCTCCAAGGCAGAGGGACATCAATGTATGCTCCCCAATTAATCCTTTGGATATTTACATCACTTCTGGGAATATTTGACTCTTCCCTTTGCTTATTTTCTTGTATTAAAAGCCTTATTATTGTATAATAAACTGTAATTCTATTGAATATATAGTGGGTTTATGATATTTTTATTGAATTTTTATAGTAAAATTATTGTTTTTCTATTGATATTTTTGAGTAAACCTTGTTATTTTTTGTCTTTTTGTTTAGTTATTTATAATATTTTTGTTTTATTTTAGGCTTTTCTTTAGTTTTTCTTGTTTAAAACATTCTTTAACCACTCTTATACTTTAAGTCAAGTAATATATTTGTTTGACTTAACTGGCGATGACTTATTTTATTATTATTATATCTAATATTTAGTTAAACCAAGCAAGCATATTACAGTTTTGGCAAAGACAACAGGACCTAAAACTGTTTTTTTTTTGTGATTTCTAACCACTTTCTTTTTAAATTTTTCTTAAATTTTTTTTTTTTAATTTTTTCTTAAATTTTCTTTTCTCACTATCTATCATCTATATATAATAGTTTTTTTCTTATTTTCTTATCTTCTTTTAGTTTATTTTAATTTTTTTTATTAGTTTAAGTATTCTCTTTCTTGTTAAAATAATATATTTGATATATATTATTTGGAATTCAAGGCCATATATAGTCATTAATAGTCTGGGTATTAATACTATTTTCTTTGATTATATTTTAAGATATTTTTAAGTTCTAGTGGCTAATACTCTTTAAAAAGAGCAAATATTTTTTGTGTTGTACCTGGACATATACAAAGGACAATAGGTGCCACTCTATATTTAACTTATTGTGAAATCTTATAGTGCCTTAGGAGACTATTGAATTGAATTCTCTTTAACATCTGCTCTCTATTTTCTTTAAAATTTTATCAAAAAAAAATCTGTTAATAAAGTTAATCCTGCATAGGTTGATAGTATCCTGGACCTTTCTTGTTATTTTCTTTTTATTATTTTTTTGATTAATCTATCTTTTATTTTATTTTATTTTATTTTTTTTTTTTTACTTTATATTTAAATTATTATTATCTTGTTCTTTATTTATTATTTATATATTCTAGTTATATTCATATATATAAAAAAATTTTATTTCTTTTATTTACAAACTACATACAACCTTTTTCACAATATTATTTTAATTTTATCTAGAAATATCTAAACTGCATTCCAACCGATGAAGAATATTCTGATTTAGTAGAAAAACTCAAATCTGCTATTGTATAATTACAATTTGGTTCTCTTTTAACTTTGCAACAAACTGATTTATTGTTTGCCTATTTAAAAATTTGTGGATTCTATTGATAAAATAAATGTGCTAAGCCTCTCTTTGATGACCTTTGGGTAACAGTTGTATAATCGAACTAGGATTTAATACTCCTACAACTTAACCTATCTATTATTTTGAGTTACCTAATATTGACAACCCACAAGGCATATCTTATCAATTACAATCTAATGTCCAAAAACAACAACCTCAAACATACACTTCATCTCAGTATGCTAACTTGAAACTATATAAACAAGAAGTAGATAATAATATTCATTCCTCTGTTGGTATCAAGGAATTATTTAGATATAGAAAACTTTATGGTTTTTCAACCTACTTTTATTAAATTCCAAGAATACCAAAGTTTAATTAAAGCACACAAATTTTTACATGAATCTCGTATCCATATTTCTCAAGAAAAATATAAGGAAAGACCTGACGAAAGCTGTCTAGCTTGCTATTCTGCAGTTCAAGATTTATCTAAATCTTTTATAAAATTTTGGAAGTGGTACAGACCAAAATACAACGTCTCTTATTCTATTACTTGTAATATTGTTGAATATTTTCAAGGAGCTATATATACTCTTAATGAATATACTAAATATACTTATATCAAATTAATTTCAACATCTGTACAATATTACAATCATACACCTAAAAAGGAATTTAACCAAATTTATACTGAACTTTTAGCAAAATTTGAGACTACTCATAACTTTATAGTAAATACCTCTAAAATACAATCTGAGAAAAACTCTAAGCCAGAATCTGAATTAAGTAATAATAA